TACACAATTCTGTCCACTTTCGTGGCATAACAGTCCTGTCCCGTATGATTAACCTTCCCGAGCTCGAGTATGTACGGGGGGAGAGATGACTTTTACCTGTACAGTCGCCATATGCAAAATAAAATAGACCCTCCATTCACCTCTATTATTTTCTTGTGCAGCGCAATTTTCAATAGAACCTTAAATTCATTATTTTACCATTACTGAAATGTATTAACCTTTTCAGGTACAAACTTATTAAAACTGGAAGAATATTCTTTTTGAAGTTTCAGTTGTATTTATTGAATAAATATTTATATCTATTAATGACTTGATTGTGGATCTTTATGTAAATTTACCATTTTGGGAACAAATGTAAAAAAATAAAATTATATGGAATTTTATTTCCTACACTTTAGGGGTTTTAAAAACATTTTTTAAAAAAAATGTTTACTTTGTTACGTTTTGCAACTTAGGGAGCGCTATAAATGCATAAACATTCGCGGTCGGTTAATGATAATTAATTCGGTGGGTTATATTTTTTTTTTTCAATAATGATCTAGAGAATATTCAGTTACAAAAAAAAATCAATGGAAAACTAAACGTACACATAAATGTGTGTGTGCCAGTATTCCTCAAGGGGTTAAACGATAATATTAGGTAAACAAAATGGATGTCGAATTGAATTATCGTACATCGACTTTAAATTAATTTTAATGAACACGTTAATACAATAATGTAACACATTATACTATTGTACAAAAATAATATTAAGGTGGAAACAATTGTCACTTCAGAAAACAATACATACTCATACAGCTTCGAGATCGTTTTTTGTTTATTTAAATGGCTAAAAATAAGAATATAATCTGTCCTTAAAATATTAATCGGTCCTTCAATACACACTGACCTAGATTTCTGCCAATAATTTCATTCCTAACGTCATTATCAATCGATGACGAACCATTTTAAAAGTTCTCTGCACAAACACCTATTAATAAGGCATTTTGTCTTCAATGCTAATTAACAAGAAATAAATTCAAAAGAAGAAATCGTTACCTTGTTACTTTTCGATTGTAACTTACTGAGAGTGTAATTGCCAAAAATATTTTAACAAGTTCTGGGCTATTGATCGTTGTATTTAATTTAAGATTTAACACTAGAACTACCAAATGCGTCAAAATGACCGAGTACAGATTTAGTATTTTACTATTACTGAAATTATAATGGTGTTTTTGACGGAATTTATGTTGACTTTTATTACAGATTTTATTTTATGGTATATTATGCTAGATTACCTCATATATTTATCAGTATACATTTAATGCTGGTAATTCTAGTGTTGAAGAGTCTCTTAATAGTCCCCAATAGTTAGTGATTCCTTGATCCTTATTGTCACCGACGTTTAGCAATAATTTCCCTCGATGGATATCGAAGTTGATCATTTAGACTGGTATCGCTATTATATACCACACGAGATCAGGTAATTCTATATTCAAAATAACATACTCTCGGACAAAATCGTACTGGAACAAAATCGTGTTTATCACGAAGTCGTTTTAAAAGTTGGTTTACCCCCGGGTGGATTTAGAATCGCCACACACTTGGCAGATTCCCAATCGTACGGTTCCCGAATCGCACGTTCGAGGAGACATTTTTACGCGTTTCTGTATCGTACATTCAACGACACAGATAAAAGATAAAAACAAAACCTCGTTTAAGTGTATCTTTTATTGCTGGTGATTCTCAAATTACTGGTGTCATTTTCCATGCAGGTAGACCTATTCAACCCCCTGTAACTCAATTTGTTTTTTTGTGTGTCTGAAAAAAATTATATAACGTAAAACTAATAAATATTAATCTTCTAGTATATACTATCAATTAATTTACGATTTTTAAACATTTGATTATTATTATTCAGCGACACAGATGAAAGATAAACCCAAAACCTCGTTTAATTGTATCTTTTATTGCTGGTGATTCTCAAATTACTGGTGTCATTTTTCATGCAGGCTATTCGAACCTATTCGAATTTCGGTTAAAATCCATAGCCACTTTGAAAAGAGGGTGATTCATAAGGTGTACTAATACGTAGTTCACTATTTTTTTTAAAGTATGGGTTAACATATTTAAAAATAGAAATATCTCCCCGTCTTTCCACCAACTCAAAATGGTGGAGTACATTGGAGAATCATTACGGATAGAAACGAAGCTGTATAGACCCTTGATTTCCATAAACACGAATATTGATGTCGTGAATAAACAATGGATTACTTATTATTTCCACTTGTTACTATATAAATTACTTCTTATTATAGTAAATACACCTAATAACAACGATCCACGATGACGTCGGTTATGCGTGGACTGGAATTAAATATTCATTCTTCCTCTAAGAAAGCTGCGATCTCTCATTTTCGAAATATCAAGCACGAATCAAGGAAGATTAAATTGTCTTACCGTCGTTTAATTACTGTGATAATATCACACGTAACACGCCCGGCAATTTTTACAGCCCAGGGACGTGGATATTGTTTTAATTGTCGCGCCTCGTGGAATCCCCGTAATTCTACATTCTTACGTGGCCGGTTTTAATTAAAGGTTCGAGTGATTACTCGAACGCCGTGTCCCCTTAAAAGATACCAAGGTACCGTGCACTTTCAGAAACGTTGCCGAGAGTAACATTACACGATACTGATATTATAATTAGACTGCCGGTTTTTATGCAAAATGATATTTCCTAAAGTCATTTTTTACAACAGAGAGGGTAGGAATTTCTTTCTTTTCTTAAAGATCTATTGAGTTCAGAATACAATAGAAAACACATTGCATCTGACGAAAGTTTTTTCTCTTTTATATTACACAAAACCCTAGTGGCTATAAATGCATAAAATCTGCAGTCTAATAATAATATTATTAACGATACACAACGCTCAGTGCATTTAATATGCAAGAAATATAGTATATACGGTGACTCACATATTCGTTCACGGATTTCTAAAATAATAATCAAGCTTTTCTGCAATTTATATTCATATTCTCCTTATCGTTAGTCTTATCATCCTCTCGTAATAAATTTCTCGTAATTTCGAAATAAAATTCGCATTTTGGTGAATAATTTTGTCAACTAGACGTGACAGTCTTTCGTGAACAATCTTGTGAGTCACTGTATACATATAGGTAAATGTACTTAGAAGTATTTCAATCTTTTTCATATACTAGGTGTTCCGCTTAAAAGAAGCCACCTAAAATATCTTCTCTATCTGTCATCATACGAGAAGTATGTTTTCGTAATTTATAATTTTATAAATAAAAATTTAATATATTCATATAATTTATATTAAAAAAGTAATATCAATTAAATAAATTAAATTATAATGATTAAATGGATTCAGGAAACGAATGGATGATGGCAAAAAAGGTTGTATATGTGTCATTTTGTAATAGTTTTTTCAAGGTCACCCAGGTTTTTTTACGCATAAGCACATAATTTTTCCTGTTGTCTGTTATAGCCAATATTATTATGCATTTATCGACGTATAATAGTATAATCTTGAAATGACCTTCAACTCTAAAAATGTTTAACTTACTTATACAAAATTTACTCCACAAATTTTTTAATTCACTTATATAATTTTTTCCACCATCTGATTCGCCTCTTAACACCATTTCAATCACGTCAAAAATGTTTCTCGTATGAACACAGATAAAGAAGATATTTAGGTGACCTGTTTTAAGCGGAACACCCTGTATATTGTTAAGAAATTTCTATTCCAAAGATTACACTGTTTTATTGTGCTGTTAACAATATGCGTAAATCTTGGTGCATTGTGTACGAAATATTATTTATAATATTGTTACTACAATAGTATTTATAATGCTTGTTCTACATGCTTTCTAAAAAATACGAATGCTGAATTTAGTTACAGTAACTTGCAAATGTGATAACTGTAACAACTTTTTGTACTTAGGTTTTTCAAACGTGACTAATTATGAAACGTTATTAATGCAAGGATTTTATAATTGAGCTATCAATTGGCTTAATACGAACATTAAATTAACTATCTATGGCTTCTCCAAACCGTGCTATATCGCGTTCCATTATTCACTCAGGCGTCTTTATACATTATTCAAAAAGGTACCCAAGCAAATTAATTACGATCATTTTTCATTGTCGATTAAAGCTGATGAACCTCGATACGAAGGGCGTACTGACGGAACAGTAGTTAATGAGAATCAATTATTCCTTTATAAATAACATTAACTGGAATAAAATCAAGTTTCTTTTTGCAAACTTTAATATAACTTCACATCGCATAATTTTGTGTTAACAAAAATAATGCAGATTATAATGTTCTGCATCGTATGCACCTTTTTATTCAATCAATAAAAGTCATATTTTATATCTGAATCACTAATGAGGTCTCGACTAAAATCTACTCCAATTTTGCATAGTGTTATCCAATTCTTTAAAATTTTATAAGATATCTAATAATATACTTAAAAATTTTCTAGATAGCTTTAATTCAATAGTGTGAACCTTCTTGTGTTAATATTATTTTTAACAGAATCACACCGTTAGGAAACTATAGAAATATTAAAAACCAAATTAACCTACTAAGGACCAACTTTGCGTTAATGCAATATTTCGTTTGCAATTTTTTTCAGTCCATTTACATTATTGAATTCTGTTCTTTCAGCTTAATAATATTTTCGTCAATATTTCTTCTTCCCTATATGTATCTGGGTATGTAGTTTTGTAAGAAATAAAAAGTCGTATTATTTCACTGTTTGGTTCTTAATGGGTTAAACAGGTTTCTTAATAAGATACTTAGAAAATTATCTAAATAATTTTGATTTACAAGCAGAAATATTATTATCATTATTTTTAAGAGAACGATACTGTTGACAAACTACATATAAATATGTAAGGAAACAGATTAAATCGCATAAAAGTACACAACGTAAACGATAAACAAAAGAAGGAGAAGGAGCTAAGGACAGACCTGAAACCAATCGAGTCACCTCCAGATCATGCAAGTGTTATCCTTGCTCGCGGTGATGATCGTGTCGCCGTTGTACGAGAAAGCGCAGCTGAAAACGTCGTCGTCATGGCCCTCGAGGGCCTGCACGCAATCGCCATTTTCCACTGACCACAATTTCGACGTTTTGTCCGACGACGAGGTCAACAATTGCTGACCGTTCGGGCTGAAACAAACTATTTTTCGTGTTCGTTCAATAGAAAGTTCGAATATTCTAGCCTCTAAAATCGAATCAAATTCTTCCGTTCCCTAAGTTCGCTAGAATCAGTTAACGCTTACAAATCTGTTACATACAAAAATTTTAAGGGTTCAATTTAGAAGTGTTTTTAACGTCGACAGTACCTATTTGCATAAACATTTGCAATGTTTAGTAATTTGTATTGGTGAAAATACTGGTCACTTGTTACAAGACATTTTTTTGGAAGAAAGTGCGAATTTTTGTCTTCCCTTTGAGAATTTTGAATTAAATAGTAATACAATTGATGTGATCTAATATTGTCTATATATCATATTTTATAAACAATACTTGATTTTTCTTAAAGGGCATTCTGAAATAGGGAAATATTAAAGAATGTACCTACTTCACAATTTTTCTGTAATTGATCAGTTGAATACACGCATTTATTCATTTTTACTTTCAATGGAAAAGTGTTCAGTTGTTACTACTTTTATTTTATGCAGTACTTAAGTGAGCGGCCAGAGGATTTAATACGGTATATGGTTTTCAACGATTCGTATCTAATTATACAGTGCATTAAGATAATTATGTTAAACAATAGCTACAATCGTTTCTTCAGCAACATGTTTCACTTTCGGAGAATAAATACGAAAATATGTAAATAGATGATTTAAACCTTTTCAATTTATTTAAATATAAAATTCGTTCAAATATCCCATAGAAGCCACCATATTGTTTCGTTTGGAAGAGTCGTAATTTCAATTTTTAGCACTCAAATGCAAATTTTATACTGTCTTACACTACTTTTATTTGCAGTAAAACCACATTTCATTAAATATATTGATAAAAAGTACTGATGCCTAATTGTTATGTACTACGTATGTACAAGTGTCATATAAATAAGTAATACACACTGCTGGTCTGATGGACAACAATTCTGGGTATGAGAATTAATTAAATTATTGATCAACTATTTATTTTGGTTCTGTTGATAATAATAGTAAAATTTGTAAGTTTCTATTGGTAATAATAGTAACTGTTTCAAATTTCTATTGATAATAATAGTAAAAGTTTAAAGTTTCTATCTGTAACGAAAGCAAAATTTTTAAGTTTTTATTGGTAACTAATAGTACAATTTGAAAGTTTCTATTGATAACAAAAGCAAACTTTTAAAGTTTCTACTGATAATAATAGTAATATTTTAAAGTTTCTATTGGTAACAAAAGAAAAACTTTTAAGTTTCCATTAACAATTAATAGTAAAATTTGTAATTTTCTATTCGTAACAATAGCAAACATTTAAAGTTTCTATTGGTAACTAATAGTAAATTTTGAAAGTTTCTATTGTAAACAATTTTCTCACCTTGGGACACTTCTTCCCTGTGCCCCTCCATGACAGCCAACTGCTGGAAAGCGGTGGTCACGTCCCAAACTCGAGCGGTGGTATCACTGCTCGCGGTCGCCAGCTTCTTTCCGTAGTTGTCGAAGGTCAAGTCCAGGACCTCGTCGTCGTGTCCCCGCAACGTGGACAGACACGAGTACATCCTCGTGTCCCAAACTTTCGCTGTCTTGTCCATAGACGACGAGGCGATCAGCGAGCAGTCGAAATTATAAATGCAATTCGAGAGTTCCGATCGATGGCCAATCAACACGCTCACTCGGCTGACGGTAACAGGAGAAACGGGAAATAATATGTATGTATAAAGGGATTGACCCAATTAAACTGTCTTTCTCCTTCTCTTCAAACTTTAACTAAGAAATTAACATTTCAACACTTTGTCCTGTGAGCTAAGATGATGAGCTTAATCCTTGTGCAATGCTTAATGAATTCTTGCATTGCTAATCGTTCAATTACATTAAAATGAAATTAAGACAATACATTTAGCCTGTCGATAGAATATAATATATTTGATTTATTAATAGAAATGTTAATTTACGAACGTCTATAATTATTTATAAGACATTGGTTTTACGGTTGAATTGACTTGAATATTGCATACAGGTTAATGTAATTATATCCTTAACTGAAGAAACATTCAATTTCTCTACAGTAATGTTTGCCATTTTGTAGATAGAATTATTGTAGTAATGATCTGCTCGTGTAGTGTTGATTTTCAGTAAAAATCGAATATCTTTTTTCAAAATGCTGTCATTTTGTAAATTTTTATTTTTAAGGCGCCTTCGTGGTTTGTATCATAGCGACAACCATGACGAAGAAAATAAACTTTAATTTTTCCATTTAGGATTATTACAACAGTCTCCACACTATCGCCCTACGGAAAAAGAAGTTTTTTAAAGAATCTTGTGTCACCGACTATTTCTATCAATATATGCGAGAAAAAAAGCTCAAAATATTTTAACTGTCACTTGAAACACACCTTAATAAGCAGGCAAAACGTCATATGGTACAAAGTTATAGTTTTTGTTAACTAAATTCCCGAAGATAGCGTTGAAAAACGGGCAGTTATTACGTATTCCCTTAACAGCAAAAACTTAAATAGATGTGAATATTTTAGGGTCCAATAGTAAAAACTGATCGATAGTAAATCGTCTAGTATCGATTATTAAATAATCGATCCACATAATTGCGTTAGTAAACAAGATCGGTTAATTGCAATGGCGATCGTAGATCGAGAATATAATATGGAACATAATTCATATTCCGTGAACGACTATCAAAAATCGAAACCATCAACATATTTTGTTAATCATGCAATTTGAATAATCAGACTCACGTAAAGGTTCTCGTGTCCCAGATGCTGACAGTGCCGTCGAAGGAAGCGGTTATTACCTGATTGCCCTCGTTATTGAAGCAAAGAGCAATTACTTCTGCCGTATGGCCCTTCAACGTCCCCTCTTCGTCACCTGTTTGATCAATTCCGATAAAAATCGGGAGTTTCAAAAATTTTTAATGGAAAATGGTACATAATACTTGTGTAATTTCATTTCTAGAAAAAACTTTCTAGAAAGTATAATTATGTATTTACAGATATAGGGGCTGAAATATTTGATTCAACTAATTGTTTTCAGCAGTGTGGAATAGGGTGGAGATAAAACAAGAAAAACTATGTGACTGTTTTCTGATAACGAAAAAAACCTGCTTTTAATCATCCGGATTAAGACTTAGAAAAACAGTCGAAAGAAAAAGAAAAGGTTTTCTGTTGAAAAAATTTTTAAGGTATCGCAAGGGTGAAAAAGCTTGTTGATGATATTCACATTTTGATAGCTTAAATACAATTACAAAAGGCACGTTCTGCCCACTATTAGATGCCATAAATAATAAAAAAGAACTTCTGCCCCTATATTTAGTTCCACCGTAGTTTAAGAATGTTAATTACACAGATCTGAATTCTTCAGAGTTTATTATACAGGGTGTCTCAGCTAACTTGATCACCACGAATAATGATTTAACGGTACATTTTATTAAAAATTTTGAGGCGTTGAACTTAAATGGTATCAAGGGGCACATCTTACAAGCTACGTGCTTTTTTTGTGAGTGGATGCATTTCAGAGATTTCAAAGTCACCTTGATTCTTTTTAACAGAATGACCTATTTTTCGTACCACAGATCGATAGAGTATTAAATTCTGAGCAAAAATGTGTTGACCTTCGTACGTCCTAAACCTAATAGTTAACGAGATATTTACAAAATAATCACTGTATTGAAGTTCAAGGGCATCAATTTGAACACCTATCGCTTCCAGACTGTAAGTACGTATTAAAAATTATTTTGTAAATATCCCGTTAACTATTAGATTTAGGACGTATGAAGGTCAAGACATTTTTACACAAAATTTAATACTCTATCGATTTATGGTACAAAAAATAGGTCATTCCGTTTAAAAAAATCAAGGTGACTTTGAAATCTCTGAAATGGCACCATCCAAAAAAAAAACACGTACCTTATAAGATGTGCCTCTTGATGCCATTTAAGTTCCATGCCTCGAAATTTTCATAAAGTGTACTGTTAAGTCATTACGCGTCATTATGTATTGTTTAACGACTGTATAGATGTACCTGTAGTTAAATGAAATATTTTCGATGTCGCGTCCAAGGAGCCAGTCGCAATTTTGTTCTGTGTGGGCGAGAATTTCGCGACAATGACCTGCGCCTCGTGGCCCCTCATCGTGGCCAACCAATGGCCCGTACGTGAACACCAAACCCTTGCGGTCTTGTCGAACGAGCCGGTTACAATTTTGTCTCTGGAATAATCAGTGGTCCAACATTTTTTTGTCGATTTTTCCATTGAACTGAAATTTTGGTAGGTAACTAAGAGACTAGAAGAGAATAAAATTACCATTCGCGGTATGTTTAAAAGAGAAGAATCAATTAAATCTTATACAGTTTCAAAAGGCGCATTTTTTATGGTTTGGTAGATAAATGATCTTTTCTGTATGAAAATTCTTACTGAGCCGAAGACTAGATTAATTTCAGAAGTGCAATATTTAGTTAAACCTTGAACAGTGAACTATTAGTCTACCAATTTGTTGTAATATTTATATTTCATATAAACATAAGTGAATTTAATATTGATATTTTAAATATTCATCTGTGTGGTCGAATTTAGAGCTTACAGTTCATCTTTGTCTAGAAATACAAGCAGAATATTCCTTGATTGTAACAATATTAAACTTGCACGACACGTATATACAGGGTGATCAAAAAGGAAATTTGAATACGTATAAATAAATACACAGAGTGTTCTAGAATAATTGGGAAATATTTTAGGGGCGACTTTATCACATCGGAACAATAAAAAAAAGTTTATATAAACATATGCCTTATTTGATTTTATTTTCGAGTTATAGCGGATTTGATGTTGAATAAACTTTTTTTTTATTGTTCTAAATGTAGCCGCCCCTAAAACGTTTCCTACTTATTCTGGGACACCCTGTATACAGCATAATTCAAGATATTCATCTACTTTCCAATTAATCGACGTATAATCCGCAATTCCAAAAATAATACTTAACAGAAAAATCCTTCATTTTAATAGAATAATTATTAAATTCTTGTTTATAATTAAACTGCGGATTTTATGCATTTATAATTTATAATTATTTCTTAAATATAACAAAAAACAAAACTTTCATCAAATCCAAGGAGTTTTCTATTTTATTCTGAATCCAATCAAATTGAAATTTTTCGTTTCTTTGAGTTCGTTATAATTTATACCTAATTACCCGATAGTGTCGTAGAATTGTCGACCTAGAAACACGATCATAGTCAACCTGTATATACGTTTTTTTTTTTAACGTTTACGAGATTAAATATAGCAATTGACGAAGGTATTTCATCGGGTAAGAGTGTACGAGAAAGGCTGAATCCTCGTTTCCGGCCGACGACGATATAAATTAACGGTAAGAGGTACGGTTAAACGAGACGTACGATGTCGGGTTGTTGAAGGACACTGCGTAGACCACATTCTTATGGCCTTCGAGAGTAAGAAGCTCCGCTCCACTGTCAATGTCCCAAACTTTACACGTTCGGTCATAGCTGCCTGTCAAGCATCTGTCAAACAATATTCGTTCGATCCTTAACACTTCGAAGGAAAAAATTGGAAACTATTTATAACCTTCAAAATTCCTTTTCATCCTATTTCTAAATATAACTTAAACAGCTACATTTGGCTGTCTATTAACCCCTTGCCTTATAATATTTTGTCAGACTCGTGTTGACGAATTCAAAATGGATTTAATAAAGCTGAGTGTTATCCCTTTTCTTTATGTCGAAGAGAAGTACTATTTTACTAGTATTAATATTTAACTTTTCGAGTTAATGCACACTTGCAATAAATACAGAATTTCTTTTATTCCTGGGAAATTATTAACGATAAAGTAATACTGGAGACTGTAGTGGTCGAAAAAATCATAAGGCAAGGGGTTAAGGGATTCGAAAATCAATTCCGAGCTATTTATAACGTCGAAAGTAACTATTTCCTCTTATTAAATTCACTTGTTATAATTAATTGACCATTTAAAAGCTTAAAAAAAGAATTTAAAAACATTAATAAAGTCAACAGTGACTACTATTACAATCGATTAATCAGTATTTGAATTTTCCAATTGTCCAAATATTTTGTCGCTTAAGAGGGTCCAAAAGTATTTACAACATTAAAAATAAATACGAACTTCCATTTTCAAATTTGAATATTTACACAGATTGCCAAGAGTTAATTTCAGCTGTTTCGGTCTTACTATGTTCACTGCGGAAGGTAATAGTCGTGTGGAACGGAAGGGTGCTATTTATATTTAGAACCATGCACGAACAATCTTAATCGGGAGTACCTTTTACCTAGTTTATCGAACGCGATATTCGTAAGGGGCAGAAGATGGGTCTGCAGGGTTTTGTATTTGTAGTATCGCCTCTCGTTTGTGTCGCAAACTTTGGCCTGGAGCTTCTGCAGTGTCTCCACTAACTGCTCCATTACACTCTCGGTTATTACGGGTTCGTCCGCTTTTATGCTCTCCGCTAATGCTCTTATGTCCGTTCTGGAAAGCGACACGTACACATTTCCTTCCGTATAATTATGCACGGGCTCGCGGTTATTCAAAACAATCCGACGTGCCTGGTACAGTCATTAAGTTCGAATTCGTCGAGCGGCTTAAAAGTTTACAATTCTTTCGAATCCCCACGAAACATTACCGGACTGCGGATTTTGTGGTGTGTAACCTCGAAAATTCAGTACAGCGAAACTTAAACTTATTTGGAAATGTAAATGTAATGGAATTTCTCATTTGGAATCTGAAAGAATGTTTTCAGTGGGCTAAACAATGTTTTACTGAACTTCGGTTTCAATAAATAATAATTCACGTTCAAATAATTTCCGCGAACTGATTTGCCCATTACACACGTTCAGTTTACCTTGCACAGTTGTTTTATATACATATAAAGAATAAACTGTGATTATAATTTCTGTTTAATCTTAGTTAATATTTTATTAAACGTTTCCTATCGCGACTATGTATGTATTATGTATGTATACTGGGTTTATACCCGTTAAATAACTAAATAAATAAATAAAAATAAATAAATAACTAGTTACCACAAATTAAATAAAAGGAAAAATGATGGTAGGTATTTTCCGGGGACGTTAGATTCCATTTAAGCACAGCGATTTTCCTGCGCAAATGTCAATGCATAAGTCACAAATTTCCACAAATTATTTGAACATGTATGCTAACCGTTTAGACGCAACGATCTGCTTGCACGAATGTGAACGCACAAGTCAGTTCGTGTAAATTATTTGAACGTGAAAATGGGCTTTAAGGTTTACGTTCATAATTATCTGAAAAATTAAGGTACCAGAATATTGTAAATTGAACACTTAAGAAAATGTACATTTGTTCGTCTGTATCGTCATTTCCATTATTGTAAATACTGCAAAGCGAATATTCATTTAAATGCTAATGGATATGGACTAACTACCTGAAACTAGAGGTTAAAAAGAGATTACTTTTGACTCCATACGTGCTTCCATTATGCAGAGAATACATTGGCACCATCATGTAACATTATGCAAGTACCAATCGCATTACAAGTGTACTATACCCGATCAAAATTCCCAATCTAAAATGTAAATTATTGTGAATTTCTGACTCCAGATACTTTTCAGAGAGGAAACGATACAACCGTCCCAAGAGACAGTTTGAATAAAGGAAACAATTTCCTGAATGTACCAGCACATCCTTTGGCGTTACTACTAAAAAAAAAAAAAACTGTGTGCATGTTAGAGGATTTAATTACTCTGCCGTCAGGTCCAGGAGATCGATTATCTTCGTCTTGACGTCCCCGCCCTGTGTATACTCCAAGGCGAGACCTGTAAAAGGAAAAAGTAAATCGAGGGAACCTTCTGTCGTGTCCGGCGTCGCGTTAATTTCCACCGAAAATTCGAATTGGTCCACGGGAATACCGGGCGGGAAGTAACGGAGCAAAAACTTCAGCAGCTTCATGTGGACGGCGGGTTCAATTACAGCCGCCACAGGGTCCGTCGTTCTGTTTCAGACAGCAACGGACGTCCGATCGCCGAACCCCCTCCCCTCCTTCAGCCGTGACGGATTTAATTATAAAACGTAATCGTCGCGAGCCCCCGTCGCGCACGTACACGGAATTGCACGGATTTGCAGAGGTTAGTTTTATCCGCCGTCAGTACGGGGGACGACCCGCATCCGCCGGTCAATCGTGTCCGACTGCCTCTGGCGTGTAATTACCGAAACAGCCAAATCGACGCGCCACGCGTTACCAAGGCACGCTTGGTCGATTCTTAACCGTTTACGGACCGACCTACACGCGTGTGTCTCTCGTCAAAAACTGACGGGACCTATTTTCATCGAAACCACCCGTCTCTCTGTGTGTTAATGTTCGCGCTTATTAACAGCCCATCATAGGGAACGACGACGTTCTGTTAAATATAAATACTGTATGATTTAATGCTCGACAGATTATAGTCGATTAACCGTTGGAGGATGAACGGTTTTAATGGTAATAGAAACAGGTCAGCAAGTCTTAAGGTAGAAACACATTAATATTATGTCACGTGAAATTCCACATTGTACATGACGCCTTGAAGACGGCGCCTTAGACCTAAAATAGCCGTAAAATGGACGTCTTCGAGGTGTCGTGTACTATCTGGGATCACGGAAAGGTGCGTTTCCTTATATCGTATCATCGTTGGGTATCTATGTGGACGGGCTAGTAAGATGTGGAGCTACGTATACGACGTGGTTAAAATCGTTAAAATAAAATAATTAATATTCCATATTTCTTGAAAATAATAAGAGAGAGTTGTCGTTTAATAATTTTTGATTGAATGGAAGTTAAGAGGGGTATGGATACGCGAGGAAGCTAGACGGAATCACAAGTTCAACGTCTATCAGCCTTTTACATTAGTTTCGTTATAATCAACTTAAATCTTAGTACGCTCGCGCCGAACACACACACACACAAGCACACATACATACAATAACTTAAATTGATCACAACGCAGAAACATTCGTCCAAACGAAGAGGATTATCGGAATAGAGTCACCACTCATCATGTCGTTCACGCACTGAATACCAAGCTATTATTAAGTGTAAACTACAGTAGATATATATGAACAAACTTTGTAATAAGTGTACTCAATGACCATATGTAATGTAATTAAAAATTTATATCATCTTGTATTGCAGAAATGACTCTCAACAGAGATTTTAAATGTTAATAAAAAATCAAAGAAAAAAATATATATATGAACATGTGACTGTATGACCATGTAAACTGAGAGCAAAATATAAAGGTAGGTAGTAATATCCTGTAGAAGGTTGGCTAGTAGAGCTCTTGTTGGATCGAATTTTATTATTTACTTACTCGCAATAAATAAAATTATTGTAAATAAATGATGTGTAAATAAAGTTATATATAAAAATTCACCAATTACCAAAAGGTAAGTGATTGTGCGTATTAGGATTCCTATATAAAGTTTTACAATTGTAAACAGATTGAGTTTTTTAATTATTTCATATAGGTATGTAATATTTATAGGAATAATCATTTGAAACTCTATTATTGGTTTAGTTTTACTTTGTACCATTTTAATAAGTTATGTATTATCACACCCTAGACACATTTTTTTTAAATAGGTAGTCATCTCATTTATAAACTACATATCAATTTTTAGCCTTTTGCAGCTTTTCAATTCTATGATTAACCACCTTAAAGACATTTATCTATTCTTATGCCCAGAGAGGTTATGACTAACGCAGACATTGTTATAAGTTTGTCTGTTTAGATAACTAATAACGAACAATTGAACAGTGTGTATAAACAGCCCACCCTGTATGTAGAGTGCGCTCGAATCAGCGTGAATTTCGTGGGACACCAAGTCTCATATGATGTTAGGTCTATTCTTATATCTCGTCTGTGGTGATAGAAAATTACATTGCATGTTTGTCTATTCAATGTCTCGACTGTGTTTTAATGGTTTCTACTTTTACACCCGTATGCACCATTTCTTCTGAGTGCATTGTTGAACGTTCTATTTTTTTTTAATGCCTGCCTTTTTATAGAGAGTAAAAACTATTGTGAATAAGTGCTAGCTTGAATGAATTGTCATAAGTTGTCGGGTTAGATGATGCTATTGACATTCGGGTCAAGATAGACCCGAGAAAAAATGATGTTCCTGGAAACTCGAGTCAAGATGGACCAGAAAAAAAGATGATTAATGTCCTATAGAATTAGGATTAAATGAATATTGCAAAAAAAAAGAGTGTATAATGAACCCGATATTGAAAGTAAAAGGTTGATAATTTCGTCTCTTCTTTGTTCAAAAATTTTGTAAACGACACTTGAAATGTCAGAATTTACCATTCATGAAATGACTATTGCTTTACTACTAAACAAAGTTGAAAATAATAAAAGAAAAAGTAATATGTAAACAGGAACCTAAAATTAAGAAAACACGAAGCTGATCGAGGTGCGGCAAAATGTTCTCTTGAAGAATTTTATTGCTGTTGACATAATGAGTAATGTCGATGATGTGTTACTGTAAATAGGTGGAGGTATCGTATTTAAACTTTACATAATAATGTATCGCAATACATTCTATGTTTCTTCTATAATAAACTGTACTGTAATCTTCCATTTATGAGACTGGTTTATAAAAAGTTAAACGATTTAAGAATGAATCCATTTCCAACCCTTCAATTGAAGATCTAGGAATATCGATCGTGATTTGTATTGTGTCCACGTAACCGTTTTTCAGTCAGGAACTTTAAGATTTAGATTTGCATTTTCTGCAATTTTGAATTGACGAAAATAAAATTAAATTTAAGAAAAAGAGGTTTAAGCGACATGATGGCGACATCATACGATAGTATGTTGATACTGATTGTCTAGTAACGTCAGTGTTTCATCCTAGATGGCACAATATGTCTTTTTCGACATTCAATAGATATGGGCACATATATAAAAAAAATAGTAAATTAATTTATTTCCTTCGAATCATATTATGCACTTATAACATAAGTCAAAAATTTAATGCTCAATTTATACTACATAATAACCCAGGATTCGTGGTTTGTCGATAACGTAGGGCGTCACACTAAAATGATAATGCGGTGCTAGCGCCCCAGTATGTATATTGAGCAACGAAAAGATATTGAATATCTGCCTATTCTTATCTTTTATCTGTAGCATTACTGTTTCGTTTTGCAATCAACTCTTATTTCTAGTTAAAAGTTGATAGTTTAAATAATGTATAAGAATAATGTTTAGAATGCAATAGAATGTAAAAGTATTGTGTTCTGATGGATAATACTAAGATGTATAGATGTAACAAAATTCATTTTTTTATATTTAGTAATAAATATATGATTATAAACTTATAATTGTAAATATCATACTATACTTTAGAACAACTTTGCCTTTATATACTAAAATATGGAAAGTTCTAACAGTTGGCCTCTTGGTCTAGGGGTATGATTCCTGCTTTGGGTGCAGGAGGTCCCGGGTTCAAATCCCGGAGGGGCCCAATTTTTTTTTATACTTTTTTTTTGCTCATTAACATTTTCCTTTCATACTAAGTACATTCGTAAAATATACACAAATCATTTTCATACTTATGTAAATATTTTTTCAATGATTTTACATACAGATATTCATACTTTATCTCTGCCTACATAATGTAAGCGGATGTAAGTATATGCTCAACGTATGTTAATTAAGAAAAGTAAGTTGCATTCTTAGGCAAGTAAAATAATAATAATCTTAATTTTACGGGCTTTAAATACCTTTGTGATATGTTAACGCAGCGCACTTACCTCACACATTTTAATTCATATTTATTTTATTCGTAATTAGGTCATTTACTTCTTTATCTGATTGTACAATTTATGGCGACGCTCTATCATTAAGTACACAAGATTCATCAGCTTTCTAAGTATCGCGTTCTCAGTAAATATTTACAGAAATACGGTATTAACTATGAAATGTTTAATCAACCATCAAGATCCGTTCTGGAAAAAAGAAAAAATAATACATCTACGCAAAACGACGTTCAGAAAAAAGAAGAAATCGTTATTTCCAAATGGAATTGTCAAAACATTGAACTTTATAATGCCATTCGAATTTCTCTAATTTCTTAACAATTCTAAAAGCAATTAACACTTTTTCAATAATTCAAAAATATTCAGGAAAATAGAAATCATTTTTTTTTTATAGAGATTTACTGTTAAACTACATTCTTCTAAAAATAAGGAAACATCCTGATATTTTCGATTGATAGTGAAACCAGTTTACAAATTATAGTGTAGATGTTATTATTTAGCGAAACTACATTGAGTATTGTCATTTACATATTCCTACTGCATTATCACAGTTAAAGGTGATCAATGAAGAAGTCAAAATTCGTGCCATCTTACTTACAATTTAATATATATAAATATATATATATTTTTTTTTTATAAACCTGAAATATTCATATGTATTAAAATGTTTTCTATATCCACACCACCCTTCATGCAGTTACTATTTATCTTGCGATAAATTGAAACTTTCATCAAATAAACATTTCCATAATGGTAACAACTTGCATACTGCAGTTAATACATTTTATTGTACATTTTATTATTCACGCAAAGTACTTTCCCAGCTCAGCAAATCTGAAAAAGGAGTTACACAAAAATAAAATGGTTCCACGAGGTTGAATGAAATTACATTTTAAGAAAGTTACGATTGCCTGTAGTTTACACTACAAGGTCGCACGAACTTTTTCCGGTACCCAATATTAGCATACGTGTTTCATTACGGGCCGTACATGATGACACTTTAACTAATAATAAAAATTCTTCGATGTTGAATGAAGTAAAACCAGCCACTAAAAAAAGTCGAAATATCATATAAGCAACAATCTAATACCATCGTTGAACGGGAAGAAACAATAAAACACAGTTTCGACCGTTTCGGAAGGTGAAAGGACATCCTCGAGTCTCCCATCGTCGGGTCTCTCCTCCCTCTTCAAATCTCGCGCGGCCTACCTCCCTACTCCCGTGAAAGTCAAGATGGCGGGTGGGGTTGTCCTGCGCATGCACCAGTTCCTCAATGGTCTGGCAAAAACACAGCTGGTCTATGATCTCCGAAGCAAGCTGACGGTCGAACGCTACCCAATGTGATCATTTTTCTCGTGAAATCCTCAACCGATCTACCGGTCAAGTCCGCGGGGATACGTGGCAAGCGTGGCGCGGGGGGTAATTCCATTTCAGTGCTCTACCAGTGTTAATGAGTGTGTTTACATGTATACAAAACTCGGTAATCGCGGTGTCACCACGAGGATTTTTCACTGCCCTGGATACAAAGGAGTCTCGTGAGGTGCTACAAGCGTCCTTTCGGTGAGTTTACCTCTAGTTCCCCAATCGAACAGTTTGGAACATTTTTTCGATTCGTGCCATACAGTCCGTTAACGAACCTTCGACCCAACCGCCTGGGCCGAGTGACCTTTTCTGTTTTTTTTTTTCGATCTTCCGTAAAAAATGTCTCTGTCCGACCAGAGAAAAAGAGAGAGAGGATCGCGAGTCCACTCGTTTCGTCAGTCTCTGATCGCACAGAAACACGAACCATGGAGGAACGAAAATTGTTCAGGGCGAACACGCGAAAACGAGTTCTCGGAACGATCCTCCTCTCTTGGCAACACGCGTTCACCAAATCTGGGGAGGATCGTGTTTGTGGCGTGCAGCATCTTCGGGGGGGAAATAGGTCAGAAGGAAGTTTTTCTAACCCCGCGAGCAGACGCATCCCCGGACAGGTATCGCCTGTTGAGAGAGAGATAGAGATTCTTATCGTCGTTCCCCCCGGTTTATCTGCCGTTGCTCCTAAACTCTGCATACACACGGGACCCTCTCTTCGTGTACTCGATCCACCGCACAGCCTTTGTTATCGCAGCCATCGGAGGATCGTAGTTCCTCCCCCAGATTTTTATCCTCGTTACGCAGACGTACTCGTCGTCCACGGAACGCGGAAAAACACGCCGGAACGGACGGAAAACAGACCGTTTTCAGTTTGAAATTTGACATTTGTGGGGGATACTACCGGGGGGAATCCCTGTTCCGTTATTATAGATTAGGCACGTTTATTGCGAAGGAAGATTTTCGTGGACCGATACTCATGGGAATTGGGGTCAGGCAGTTTTGTTTACTGTATTCGGAGTTTGTTATCTCCGCGGGCGAATGAAATTGGGCAGATGTTCAGTCGGTAGACTTTATCGGACTTTACACTGGGCTGAGGTTTAACACTGGAACTAGCAGCATTGAATGTATACGAAATGAACTTGTAAAATTTAATAACATAATACAATCTAACGCGACATACTACGACATGAAATGTATAGTAAATTAGAAACCAACATTAATTCCAGAAAAAGCGTTATAACTCCAGTAATTGTAACATAAGAAGCCTGTAATCCATCATTTTGACGGGTTTGGTAGTTCTAGTGTTGAACAATAATTGTGTACGATATAAATGCATACAGTTCGGAATATAGAAATTATTCGAGTATGTTTGGTTAATGATGGAATTCTCGGTTTTTTAATTATAAAATTCTGGCAGACAGTGTGTATTGTTGTGTCAACTTGTCTGTTGTTTCGAGGGGTAAAGAATGAGTCTTTCTCGCGGGAACAAAAGATAAAACAGTTTACCGTGACGAGTTTTAAATTCGCTGTGTTCTTATCAGTTTGTTTAAATATTGGGCGTCTGTCGGTAGAAAACTTTTATTAATATTAAAGAATCGCTACGACTATTATCCGATAGTTTTCTTTATTTTATAGGACATTTCATAATTTTTTCTGGTAAAAGTGGAAATCCCCGTTGATAAAACAAAATATAACCACGATACCGACTTGAACGCGACGCGACCGTTACTTTCCCTACGTCTAATGATTAATCCTCGCCCAGCCGAGCCGGGTCCCCTTTGACCCACGTTTCTGGTCCAATGATATAAGCGTCACTAGGTGAATGTTTAGTATCTACAAGTTCAATATGTGTCACAAGTGACCCGAATAGGCCTGTTTTTGGTTGACGGTTCCAAGATTAAAGTTGTAGTAATTTTCGTAGTACAAAAAGAAACACGTTATTATATTTATAACATATTTTAACTTGATAAGTGCAATACAATAAAGGTTTTAATAAAGTTTAATATTATGTGTTACTATTAACACTAGTAAAGCCTCTGAAAAATTCCACTCCATTTTAATTTATTGATATTAGTATCTGAAACTGTGAACTTGCATAAACATCCGCAGTCTAGTTATCAATATTGCTATATTTTCATGCAGAGTAAAAAGCCCGAGTATCGTGCACGTTACTAAAACAATATTATATCCAAGTAACTGATTCATACATTTGATTACGAAAGGTTAAGAAACGGAACAGTTTTTACCAAACATATCCGTCGTGGCTCACATCTATATGTATACATACAACGAGTCTATTAGAGGTCCTTAAATACACGTGTATTAACGTATCTGCATTTTGATTCGTATTAATTTTTAGAATGTAGTTATTAATTTTCGAAAGGAAAATATGATGATGCAAAATAGATACAAAACTAAATTTAAAAATTAAATATCCGAGAATTGCAGAACTTGCGATGAAACATTTAAACATACTTTAAAGAAAATTCAGGTATGACATACCGTTACGGGACCCAGTTCCTGAGCACTTAAGAGTAACTATCGCCGTTTTTTTCATGTATTAAGTAGAACAATTAATTAACGTAGTAAGTTATTCGAATAAATCTATCTATTTATCTTTAGTTTAGTATTAACAAATATACAGAAATAGAATTACGGTTAAATTGTAATTTCACTTTTAAAGTAAGAAATGCAAAAGGAGCACTTTCTCATCACTTGCGCTTATACTCACTTATCATACGCTTTATATTTTTTATCAATTTTATCAATTTAATTTGAATGATTAATATTATAAACTACTTCAAAATACTGAAATGGAACAATAATTTACAAATAAGTGGAAAAAAAACAAACACTTTTTCCTTGCTGTAAGAAAATATAACATTTTTTTAATTTTTAAGAAAAATTGGAAAGTTCGTCGTTGGTCGTTACCGTTTATAGCAGACGTGCGTAGAAGATAATATCAAATGTATTGAAACCTAAGTTTGCATACATGGATCGTAATTTTAAGTTTTATTTGATCGTTAACATACTTTTTTTCCGTGACATCATATTCGCCGTAAAAGTATCTATAACCACCTAATTTTTCGTGGAAATATCATTTTTCGTTTGTAAATAAGAAGTGATTAACTTCTCAGTATCGATTACAAATCCAAAAGGCTCGTGTTAACAACAAAATTTTTATAACGTTTCTATTTCAATAATTTCATCGTTGACCTTGCGATTTTTCGGTAGCGATCAAAAGTTCAAGCTTTTAAGAATGTTCTGTTAAATTTTCAACTAAATATGTAATTATTAACAATTTTTGAAACCCAACTTGAATCATATATCTGTATCTCGATGTGAGCTATCAAATTTTAGGTATAAATTTCAAAATAGCTAATAATTATTTAGTAATTGTTAGGAAAGAAAAACCCGTTATTATAGTAAACTTATTATATAGTATCTATTGTACTAAACTGATCAGGAACTGGGTTCTGATCACGAACTGGGTCCGTGACGATAGTGTACGTGAAAGACACGGTCAAATCCCATGATTTTTGGTATCAACCTTTGGATTGTCGTAGCCAATGGGGGCAAGGGGTCCTTGCACCCCGTCTGAACAGAAAAGTGGCTTTTGCACTACTGTAGAAGAAAAAAATTGAATTTTGCCCTCCTCCCCCTCCAGAAGAAAAAATTATATTCCCCCCCCCCCTAATAGATAACCTGGCTACGCCTACGAACCTTTGTGTCTACTGACAAGGAAAGGCACGGAAGTGTGATTTTGATGAAACTCCGTATGTCTGTTAAACAGCCAAAAATAAGGGATACGTATTTTTTTTTATCGCCTGAGACGCGACTTTAAGGGTTGAAACCACCCCTCGAAGTTTCGACCCGAAAGTACTATCTCGAAAACCAGAGGAGATACATGAAAACTTCTAATGGACGAGATTTGCGGTTTGTTATGTAGAATAATATGATGCTAACAAATTGTCCAAAATATAATTTGTTTATGACAAAAAAATTTCGGATCGAAACTTCGAGGGGTTGTTTCACCCCTCAAAGACGCGTCTCAGCCGATAAAAAAAAATACGTATCCCTTATTTTTGACTGTTTAACAGACGTACGAAGTTTCATCAAAATCGGAGGAGGACACTTCCGTTCCTTCCTTTGTTAGTTATGCCTTACATTCTTACAAGAATAAAAAGCACATTATTCAAACAGCTGCACACACTGGAGTAATTGATCCATTCAGTGTTCAGCTCGTTTTGTCGTGTTTCCAGCACAAGCGAACGGAAATCTTCCGCGCCGTGGAGCCCCGTGACAAACACATCCCACGAAATTGTTCATCACTCCCCCGTCCGCGTCACTGTCGTCGGTCTTCTGACCGTGTGTTTACGCGCAAACACAGCTGCGTGCTGTAATTCAGTGGATAACGCTATCACGCCACCGTTATCATCTGTACCAGAGCGAGGTCTTGAACCTCTCGTCGAACTATTTTTCTGTTCTTTCTTCCTCCGTCACCACACCATCATCATCCGTCGTCGACAACTTGGGGTTAGGGTAAATGTGTCAGTTATTGTGCCCCCCACCCTAGTTACTGTGCCCTTACATTATTTTTATGTACAGAAAATTACATAATCATTCAAATGAATGTATTAAAATTTTTTTTTAAATCTTATTAACAATTGGCATAATTTAACTGAAAGCATAAATTATTAATACTTGTAAAATAGTATTAATAATTATTGAAATTTTTTTTAAATTACGAGTTCAATATTGCGTTAATGCAACGTCGGGTTTTAATGGGTCAAGAGAAGTAACTTTACGTCTTTCATTTCCATATTATTTAAAATTTACTGAAGAAATATTTTGTTATATTTTCATGTCTTATTATTAATCATGGAAGATTTGTTCCATACATTATTGTTCTTCTCAGCACACTTTAGTATCGTCAGTTTCACAGTCAAAAATAAAAGACTATAATAGCCTTAAATTATGTGGTGACGATTTGGTGAGATTCCGAATGTTTTTGAAAAGCTTAAGTGACACCGTGTAAGTGAAGGTAGAAAATAAAAGGAATAGTGTATTACACAACCAAACAAATGTACTGTAGGTCCGTAAATCTGGTTTAGATAACGGGAACATGTATAATCCAGTAACTGAAGCAAAATTTTTGTTTGTTTCTATTATTGTGTACTTACATGTACAGTAACTGGACCCAT